GGCTCATATGTGTGTGACATCTCAGTAGAATTTTCTCTTAAAAAGGAATGGAATGGTCCATAGTGCTTTTGAGAAATTACAAGTTAGATTATTCCCAGGAAGTTTGCAGACTATCAGTGATGAGGTGACAGACAACCCCTTCAGCAAGAAGCTGTTGCCAAGGACAAGACTCTTGCTGGCTGGTCCCAGCAGGAGTGAGGGGTACCCGATACCCCTCATCTTCCCTCACCTGGGCAGTGCAGTGTCTCTGGAGTTGGTGATCGTGGCCATGGTCTGACATAGCCTCCAGCTGGGTCCAGGGTCACTCTGAGCCTGCCCCTGCCCCTGGCCAGAGCTGTGGCCACATAGCATCAGCGGAATGGTCCACAGTGGTGGGTCATGCTCTATCTTTGTGCCAACATTGGTGAACTTAGCAAAGATCTCAGTGGAACTTTGTTTGTCCCCAGGCCACACAATTGAAAGCACGTTTCATATTCACAGGCTGATGGGATGATCTCTAGTCCTTCTCTGTCCAGAGCCTAGAGCAGAGTCCATGCCCTTGAGCCCCGTTCCCAGCCTTTACTGTGGGGCTGGGCGAGTGTTGCTGCATGCAGTCCTGATGTCGGGGCTTTGATAAACACCAGCTTCTGTCAACCACAGCATGCTCATTGCTGCCTGAAGAATCCAAGGACCTACCTTGGGACTACCAAAAACAAGTTGCCTTTCCTAAGCATCTGAGTGCCCTTTGCCCTGACCCCCACTCTGCCGCTGGGGTCAAGTACGTTGGAAAGTTAGTCTCTCAGAGTTTCTGAGAGACCCTGGGACATGGGCTGTGGTCTGCTCTGGGGGGAAGGTGCCTCCCTCAATGCCCATCATTCCTTCTTACAGGAAACGTGTGCGGCCCTATCTCCAGGCCATGCTGGAGCCTGTGTTTCTTCCCTATGTGTCAGAGTGAGGACGCAGCCCTGGGCCTGAGAGGGAGGAGAAAGCCGCCTTTGTCTGGCTGTGTCCTGAGCTGGACTGCTGTCACAGGGCCTTCCCCTCTGAGCTGCTCCCAGCACCTTGCCAGCAAATCCCTAATCCCAGCTTCTGAGCTAAAGACCCAAATTGGGCCTTTGTGAGGAGAATAAAGGCACTTTGTGGGCCTTTCAGGAGGAGGGCTCGAGGGGACTGGGGGCTGTGGGGGACTGGGGGCTGCATGGGGACTGGGGGGTACGGGGGACTGGGGGCTACAGGGGAGCTGGGGATTGTGGAGGGTCTGGGGGAAGCAGGGGACTAGGGGCTACGAGGGAGCTGGGGATTGTGGGGGACTGGGGGCTATGGGAGACTGGGGGCTGCATGGGGACTAGGGGCTGCAAGGGGACTGGGGGCTGCGGGGACTAGGGGCTATGGGGGGACTAGGGGCTATGGGGGAGCTGGGGACTGCAGGGGACCGGCGGCTATGCCATTTATTCCTTCCCTGCCTTTTGTCATTGTGTGCTATCAGGAGGGCAGGCTTCTGGTCCCTGCTCTTGGCCTACATTTGGAGGGGTGGGGGCCCTCCAGGATTGTCTCTGACCTGTCCCAACCTGGGTTGGCCAGCCTACCTCATGGGGTCCTGAGGAAAACTGGGGAACAAATGTGGCCCTGGGCCTGTCATGCCTCCCTTGTGCCTCCCTTCTTCTTGGGCAGAGGTGGCAGTGAGCTGAAGGCACCAGATCCCGGAGGGTCTGTGTGAGTGGCCTGGTACCCCCTTGCCCTCAGTCTGAGGGCTGCTTCCACTGAATCCCAAGTGCCAGGGAAGTTTCAGTGGGACATCTTGTGCTGTTTTCATTCCCTAGCACCTGACTCTCTCCACAGCTGGCTGTGGTATTTCATCATAGGAGGGGGCAGGATTTCTTCCAGCCCCTTCTCCTGTTGGCAGGTGTTTGCCCTGAGGTTGGCTGGGTGAGCCCCTGTGGACCTCCCTCCTCAGGAGCAAGGTAGGTGGGGCTGTTGTGGGGCTCCTGACTCGTTGGCTGCGTTGACAGCATAGGAAGCCCCACCCAGGCAATCCCCCGGCCCCAGTCTGAGTGGGAGTGTTTCAGGCAGGTCACTGCTGGGAGGTGCAGTCTGTGCCCCATCCCTGCTGCTGTGTATTGGCTCGGCTTGAGCCCATGCCCCCACAAGGGCAGATGCTCCTGGCTCACCAACTCTGGGAAAAAGTTCAGGTCCTCCTGGTGTCTTGTCTGAGGCTTTAAAGTGACATCTTGTCATATGTGTTTCCTGGCCTCTTCCTGTGCTCTGGTTCCTCACTTTACCTAGTCTTTTCTGGAAATGACCTGAGGGTGTGTGTGGGGTCAGCTCTATTTGTGGAAGTGAAGACAGAGGCTCAGAGAAGCCACAGGACCCCGCAGACATACAGGGAGCCAGGGAGTGGCCTGTCCTGTGGCCCTCAATGCCTTAGGAGAGTGCAGGTCCTTCACGGGCTCCTCCTCGGGGGTGAGGCACGGGTTGCCACAGCACCCTACAGACAAAGCTGTGGGTGGCGCGTTCCCAGTCTACAGATGAGAACACTGAGGCCCTTGCCTGGATCTCACAGCTGGTGCCGGAACTTCTGCCAAGGTTCCTTCCAAGAGCGCCCTGGAGGCTGAGGAGGGGCTGGAGCCACAGAAGGGAGCCAGCAGGGGCTGTGGGCCTGGCATGGGGCCAGTGCCTCCCTCCTGCTGCCACCCCCGGCACTGCTCACTTCCTCCCACCCACACCAGGAGGAGAGGTGATAATTACTGCCTTGGACGAGTAGCGCTTGTCAACAGATTTTTTATATCTTTTATTTTATATTCATCTATCTACATATTTGTTTATTTAGAGTCTTCTGCTGACCCCCCTGGTGTGTAGGAGAGTGTGAGCTTGGGAAGGAGAACCGGGTCGGCACAGTATCACACCCAGGACCTTATAAAGCTGTTACTTTTAAATGAGCTGCCATACCCACCTCATTGGGTCCTGAGGAAAACTGGGGGAGAGATGTGGCACCTGCCTCCTGCCTGGTCCCTCCAGAGGTCATTGTTGGTCCAGCTGTCACCAGTGGGCAGTCTTAGGCAGCACTGTGGGGCTGGGGGTGCCCTGCCACCCTGCTCTGCCCCTGGATGCCATCAGTCACAGCCCACGGCTTTCACAGATCACATGCCCCCCAGGTGTTTGCTGCCCGAGCATACTGAAGTCATCACTTGCAGTACCCGCTGGTTCTGTGCCTGGGGGGATCTGTCCATACCCACTCGAGGTCTCAGCATCACCTACTCTTGCCCTGGGACCTGCCACAGGGTGGGCACCTTGGGCCCCTCAAAGAGTGCCAGGAAAGACTGACGAGGGGGCCTCTCTCCGGATTGTGTTTTGGAGTCTTCCTTCTAACTGCCAAGGGGCCGTCGTGTCTCCTGCACCTCTTAGCCACCCACCAGCAGAGAGTCTTCAGGCCTCAGGAGGCAGGGGCATCTCACTGGACACAGTGCAGCCTGGGTGGGTTGCCCTCAGGGAACAGCATCAGCAGGAGGCCAGCAGGGCTCCTGACTGCTACAGAGGGACAAGGCTTTTGCTGGTTCTCCCTGGAGTCCCACATGGCCTGTTGGCTGATAGGGGCTCAGCCAGAGCTCTTGTGTCCATACCTGAGCTGCGTGGCATGTAAGATGGCCTCTATCTCCAGCAAGTGTCAGAGTCCTGCAATGAAAGAAAAGCAGAAAGTGAGTGGGATGTACCCTTTGCAGCTTCCTTGCAGGGTCAGGTTACTGGGGCCTGGCGGGAGCCCTGGGACCAGCAGAAGCTGGCCCACGCACAGACCCGGGACCTGCCTCTCAGCCTGCACCTCTGGTTGTACCCACATGGAGGGCACTGCAGGGTTTTGGGATTGAGTTACATGAATCAGGATGGCAGCTGCGACCTGCTGTCTCAGCCCACTGAGCCCTGCCTTCTGACCTGCATGGACAGCTGCCCTTGTCAGGATAGCACTGGCTCTGGGCTGGGCAGAGGCCAGTGGGGTTTGGTAGGAAGGCATAAGGCAGAGAGGTTGCATGCTGTGCCCTCCCACTCAGATCCCCAGGACCACATGTAGCAGGCATGGCTCACACCTCAGAGGCTGGGACCTGGCAATGCTGGCCTCCCCTCCCCAGGGCCCGGCTGCAAAGGAAGACACATCAGCCAGGCCCCTATACTTTGAAGGAGGGCATTTCCCAGGCCTGGAGAACAGGCCTTAACCACGCCTTCCACGGAGGACTGAGGAGATGGAGTCTAGGTCCCAGGGACAGGCAGGGGCAGGTGGCTGTCACTGAGTCCCAGACTCTGGCATTTGAGCTGGACATGCCCCCATAATCCTGGGAGTCCTTTCCCAGTGTGGCCAGCATGCCATGGCCTCAGGGTAGTCTGGCAACCCCAGATTAGCCTATCAGAGAGTAAATGGGATTAATTAAAGAGAAAAGGGTGATCTTACTGAATTTCAAAATTTGGTGACTTAACTCAGTAAGGAGTAAAAACAAGCTGAGGAAGACCCCGTTGTCCCTCCCAGTGGTCCAGGCCTACAACTCCCTCAGGTGCTTCCTGTAGCCCCTTCCTCCCAAGCCCCAAAGGGAGAGTTTATGTGCATGGGGGAACTTTTCTGGGGGATTCCCAGAGGGACTGTGACCCCCCAAAGTTGGGGACACCATGTGAGCTGCTCTCCCTGGGGTTAGGGCCCTGTCCTGCTCACCCTGTGTCCTGTCAGCCCTGTGTCTGGGCCTAGAATGTGGCAGTCCAGTTTGGGATGAGGGCTGTGGGGAGAGGAGACTTCAGAGGGGATCAAGGGCGGGGTCAGTGTCTGGCTGTCCTGGGTCTCTGCCTGCCATCCAGACAAGCCCAGGCTGTATCCCCCACTCCTGCCCCACAGGTGGAAGGTGTGGGCCCTGGGCATGGAGCACCTGGTTCCCAGGGGCTCTGGAGCCTCTTCTTGTCCTGAGACCTGAGGAAGGAGACCATAGCCTGGGACTTAGAGGTAACATGGGTGCGCTGGTGATCACAGCGTCTGCCTTTGTCTTCTACAGAGCCCGCAGGTCCCCTTTGTGGAGCTGGCCAATGATGAGAAGATCTTTAATGGGAGTGATAATGTGTGGCAGAGCCAGGAGCAGGCGCTGCTTCCGGATATCACGGAGGAGGACCTGGAGGCCATCCGGCTGCGTGAAGAGGCTATCTTGCAGATGGAGGTGAGGCTGTTGGGGGCACGCTAAGCCCTCTGCATGGAGCCTTGGTGCCTACCCTGCCATAGCATTGCTCACTCAATGGCCAGCATCCTGAGGCCACCCCTCTCCTGGAGGGTCAGAGCTGGGCCCCCATGGCCTCACCTGCAGTGACTGCCCCTCAGTGGGAATCTGATTTGTGGCATCCAGGGAGCCCTGCCCCATCCCCTTTTTTCCCTGCGTTTTCCTCATAGGGCACAGCACAGTCATTGTGGCCATTTTATTTGCTGGACCTTTAGATTGCTGGCAGGCTGTAGAGCGCTAATGGAGGTGGCTTGGTGGCGAGGGTCAACAGCTGAACAAACTGCTCAGAGCTGAGCATGTGCTGTGGTGGTGGTGCTCACAGGTGCAGCCTGCTCCTGTGTCTCCAAGTTCGTACACGTCTGCGCCTCCTGCCATGTGTGTCAGCAGCAGGTGCTCTTGTGACAGCTGCTGAGCACTTGGGAGTATCTGTGCGTGTATGTGACTGCTGGAGTGTGTGAAAGTATGCGTGTGACTGTGAGAGTGAGTGTGCACGTGAGTGGGTGTGGCTGTGTGTGAGTTTAAGTGTGTGTGTGGGGGCCACCTGGACCTGTTCTGGTTGGATTTTGAGTGAGGATATACTGCCTCTGTGATGACCTCTATTCGACCCTGTAGACCTGGCCCTTGAATATCCCCTCTGCTGGCCTGAGAACAGGATGCCTGAGAACATCCCACATCTTGGCCCTGCTGGCTCCCCCGGCCTTCAGGCATGGGCTCAGGCATGCCCTCTGGGAAGGTCCTCCTCACCATGCTCCCCTGCCCTGGTGCTCTGCCTACTTGCTCGTGCCCGGAATCTCTGCTTGGTTGATTGTTGGCCATGCGTTGTCATTTGCCATTCCTACTCAAATGCAGCTTCCTGTGGGCAGGGACCACCGCCTGTGTCAGTCTGCTTGGCAGATTGTTAAGTGAATGTGTGAAACAAACCAGCCCACCCAGAGGACAACATACCTAACCCCTGATGGCGACCCAGCCTGACTCCTGGCTGCCACAGGCAAGGGAGTGTGAGCTCTGTACCTGTCCACCTTGGTCCTCTGTTGACCCTTGGCTGATAGTGCAGGAGAGTCCCTGCCTGCTAGCCTGGTCTCGGGCCTGCTTCTTGGTAACCTTACTGTTCATGGGAGTGACAGGGGCCTGGTTGTTCCTCCCACCTCTGCTCCCAGAGTTTGCCTATAGCTGGTGTGGTGGTGGCTATGTCCTCTTACCCCATCTCCACGCTAGTCCTTGTGCCTATGGCCTGAGCCCTGACCCAGAAGGCTCCGTGGGCAGCTTCCCACAACCCTGCCGGTTCTGTCCTCTTGCTGAGCTGTTTGGCCTGTGGGTAGCCCGGCCTAGCTCAGCTCCGCAGGTTTGGGCTGCTGATGAGGCAGCTGCCTCAGGGGCTGGTCTCACTGTCCTGTCCCAAGCCCTGGCCAGCCCTAGCCTTCCTTGTGCCTCAGTTTCCTCTCCTATGAAGGACAAAGTCTGGAGATTTCTCTCATGGGCTTGGTGAGCTAAAGCATGTGGCATGTCTAGACGAGGGTCCCCCAAGGCTGCTGAGGGGTGTGTGTGTGGGGGGGCGGTGCAGTGCGCTGGAGGCTCAGGAAGCTGGGCCAGCCCCAGATGTGCCCCAGCTGGGTGCATGTGGCCCTCTTTGCTGGCATCCATGGGTCTTCTTCATTTCCTGTGAAGAATGGAGCTGCACAAACACCAGGGCTAGTCCTGGGCTAGGCCAAATACAGTTGTGACAGAGAGCTGGCAGGTGCAGGGGGCCTGCTCCCAGTGTGCACAGGGGCCCTTTCACTGCCTCAGGTGGCTGTGTGGTCTGCATACAGGCTCTGTACTCTGAGGTACTGGAACTCTAAATGGACAGGCCCTTTGTAGCTGGCTATCCAAGGGTGGGTCGGGATAGTTGGCCATCTTCCTGGACCTGGGGCTCTTTGCTCCCCTCCTATTGCCCCTAGTGGGCTGTCCCTGTCCTTATCTCCTAAGATGGGCCCTAGACCCCCTTTTCTTATTTGACTAAGATAAGAATGGGGTGGCTGGTGCACCAAGGGGTGAAGCCCAGTGCCCGCGTTGGGCCAGTGCAGCCCCTTCTTTCCTGCCTCTGGCCCTCCTCCCTGCTTGCTGAGGTTCCCTGTGAGGCTGAAACATGGGGACAGATGAACCATGCCACAGCCAACAGGAGGCATCTGGGTACTTGCAGGACCTAGTCATCAGGAGTTATCCCTGATCTAACCAGGAGATGATTCTTGATCTGTCACCACCAGTACTGTCTGGCTATGGAGTGCAGTCCTTGCTCTAGGCCCATGGCCTGGGAGAAATGACAGGCAGCTGTTTAGGAAGCTTCTTCTTCCCCTTCTAGATAAGGTGGGGCAGTAGGAGTCTGGTCCAGGGTCCCAGGGCCAGCCACAGCACCGTTGGACCATGTGACCCTCAGTAGGTCTCTGCCCCGAACCTCAGTTTGTTTATATATAAAATGGGCACAGTGAACACCCTCTCTGAGTCTATGCCACCCAGAGGCTGGAAGTGTGGCAGAGTCTACCTGCCTCGGAGGAATTTGGGCTGGGAGGAGCTGGGCAGTGGGTGTAGGGGTGGCTGTTCTTGAGCCTAACACCTGCCTCCTGCCCTTCCTCCCCTGAAGACGTGAGCAGCCCAGGACTGAGCTGGATAAGCTGGTGTTTGCTGCTAGCTCAGCAGCTCACTGCTAACCAGGGTGTGAGCCCAGAGACTCTGCTAACTGCAGTGCCAGGGCTTGTGAGATAATCTGAGAGCAGCTGTGTGTGCTGCTAGGCTGAGGGTGGCCCTTCTAGGGCGGTGTTTGTATGTGTCTAGGACTCCTGAGGAGGGGAATCACTCCAGCCTGGGAGATGCTAGAGCCTTGGGGCTTCTCAGTGTGGGGCCCTAAGGGCTTCTTGGAAAAATTCAGGAGTGCTGTGGTCTGATCTTCAGGCTCAACTCTTGTCCCCCATGCGCTGCTGCCCTTGGACAGCCCTAGTTGACAGTTGGGTGACTCTGGTGATCCCAGTGATGGGTCTGAGACCACTCTGGTTGCTCACCTGGTGAAGTGTATGTCCTTTCCCAAACCAGCTTGGAGGGAGGCCTGCTCTCTAGGACTCTGAAAGGCACTCAGGAATAGGGGCTGCCAGGAATAGGGGCTGTGCTCAGGGTACTTTGAGGGTCATGTGAGGTCCTGAGGCCTAGCAGCACCCCCTGGTCAGATCACATCTGCTTTTCTTTATCCCAGCCTCTTTCCTATTTCCTCTGAGAAATAGAAGCCCCCAGAGGGAGTTCAGAAACCTCCAGGGCCTATGTGCCTTCTCCCTGGTTGCTGCAGAGACCTGCTCTTACCCTTAGCCTGCCCGCAGCCCCCACATGCCCTCCCCCACCCCCCCGCCCCAGCCCCTCACCTTCTCCCTCTTTCCCGATTCTGCCATCAGCAGGCACACAGTGGTCACTGCTGAGTTGGGAAGCTCCCATCAGAAGGAGCATCTCCGCCATCTGCCACCTGCTGCTCAGGCGCCTCCTTGTCCTCTGGTCCTTCTGTAGAACTGTCCACAGCCTCCAGTTGAGCCTGTTGTTCTTCCTCCTCTGGGAACAGCATCCCTCTGCCCTCCTCCCTAGTGGGGCTTCCAGGGTGGATGATGCAGGCCCCTTCTCCCCTTCCTAGTGGTCTTGGTTGGTCTCATGTCTTACATACCTGCAGATACCTCCCAAATGTCCACCTATAGCCTGATCTCTCCTGAGCACCAGGCTGGTGTCCACCTGCCAGCCTGGAGGGTCAGAATGGAGCTCCCCACTCCCAGGCCATTCACATCACTGCTTCCTCTCTGGCTCAGGCCAAAACCCTTGGCTTCCCTCTCTTTCTCACTGAGACCCATGTCTGTCTGTCAACAGGTCCTATGTTTGTCCAGAAACTTATCACCCACTGCCCCTCATCACTTCTCACTTGGCTGTTGCATCAGCTTTCTGGTTGACCTTCCTGCTGCTCTTCCTGCCTCTGAGCACCATGTCCACAGTGATTCTGTGAGATCTGGGTCAGATCATGTCACTCTTGCCCTCCGAGTTTTGCTGTAGCTCCCCCTGAAACCAACAGAAAACCAGAGGCCTTGTGATCTCCCTCCTGCTGCATCACAAGCCATCCCTCATCTCATGGCATGAAACAGCCACCTCGCTACAGTGATTGTGGGTTTTCACTTCAGGAATTTGGACAGGGCTCAGTGAGGATGGCTCATCTCTGCTCCATGGTGTCCATGGCCTCTATTGGAAAGACTTGAGTGGCTGAGGATGACTTAAGCAGCTAGAGCAGGTGTCCTCAAACTACGGTCTGTAGGCTACATGCAGCCTGCCAAGGACATTTATCTGGCCCGCTGGGTGTTTGTGCCGCCACTGCCTGTACTGCTTAGCAGCCGACTCATCCTGGAGCCCACAGTCTGGCCCTCCAGCAGTCTGAGGGACAGTGAACTGGCCCCCTGTTAGAAAGTTTGAGGACCCCTGAGCTAGAGGCTGGAGTCATCAGAGATTTCTTTACTCTGCATCTGGTGCCTGGATTCCACGTGGACCACGTGGACTCTTCTCATAGATTGGGCTTCCTCAGAGCATGGCTGCCCCATGGTGCTCAGACTTCTGACATGGCTGCACAGTGTCCCCAGGGAGGCCAGCAAGGCAGAAGCTGTGTGGCCTTCTGTGGTGTAGCTACAGAGGCGCACAGTGTCACTTCCCTGCCCTTTGTTGGTTCTAGTAATCAAACCTGCCAGGGTATGGGGGAATAGGAGTGTCAGAGAATCCAAGCCTGTTTTAAAACTACCTTATATAATCTGGTGCCCTGGTACTATTATTACATAACAGATTGTCTGGAAATTCAGGGAGGCAAACCAGGTCTTGCACTCCTAGATTCTGTGGGTCAGAATTCCCAGCTGAGGTGGCTTCTGCTTCATGCAGCCAGGTAGCTGAGAGTGGGGCCACACAGA